TAGTAGTAGTAGTAGTAGTAGTAGTAGTAGTAGTAGTAGTAGTAGATGTATGAGTGGTCGTAGCGGTAGTAGTTGTAGTAGTCGAAGCGGTAGTGGTAGTAGTAGTAGTAGTAGTAGTAGGCGTAGTAATAGCCGCAGTAGGAGTAGTATTGGTACTCGTCGTGATCGCAGTCGTAAGCGCAGTCGTAGTAGTAGTCGTAGTAGTAGTAGTAGTAGTAGTCGTAGTAGTCGTAGTCGTAGTCGTAGTCGTCGTCGTGGTCGTAGTCGTAGTCGTAGTCGTAGTCGTAGTAGTGGTAGTAAAAGTGGTAGCAGTAGTAGTAGTAGTAGTCGTAGTAGTAGGTAGGTAGGTAGGTAGGTAGGTAGGTAGGTAGGTAGGTAGGTAGGTAGGTAGGTAGGTAGTAGTAGTAGTAGTAGTAGTAGTAGTAATAATAGTAGTAGAGTAGTAGTAGTAGTAGTAGTAGTAGTAGTAGTTGTAGTAGTGGTGGTGGTTGTGGTGGTGGTGGTTGTGGTGGTTGTGGTAGTACTTGTGATAGTAGCAGTACTAGTAGTAGTAGTCGTAGTAGTATTAGTAGTAGTGTTAGTATTAGTGGTAGTAGTAGTTGTAGTAGTAGTGGTCATAGTAGTGGCAGTGATGGTCACAGTAGCAGCATCAGTTGTAGTAGTAGTAGTAGTCGTAGTAGTAGTTGTCGTCGTCGTAGTAGTAGTAGTAGTAGTAGTCGTAGAAGTAGCAGTAGTGGTTTGAGTAGAGGTAGAAGTAACCGTCGACGTACACGTAGAAGTAGTCGTAGTAGTAGCAGTATTAGTAGTAGTAGCATTAGTCGTAGTAGTAGTAGTAGTAGTAGTAGTAGTAGTAGTAGCAATAGTAGTAGTAGTAGTAGTAGGAGTAATTGTCGTGGTGGTAGTTGTGGTGGTATGTCGTAGTAGTGGTAGTAGTAGCAGTAGTAGTAGTAGTAGTAGTAGTAGTAGTAGTAGTGGTGGTGGTGGTGGTAGTAGTAGTAGTAGTCGTAGTAGTAGTAGTAGTAGTAGTAGTAGTAGTAGTAGTAGTAGTAGTAGTAGTAGTAGTCGTAGAAGTACAACGCATAGTGTTCCGCATGCTAAGGCATTGCGGGGACTACCACACAGACTAAGAAGACTGTTCTTGATGCTCTGAAGAAACAGGTTACGCACTTTCACACTGCTATCAGTCTTTTTGTGTATGTGTATATACCAGTACTGATAATGCTTCTAATGAGAAGCAGGATGTCCACAATCATACTAACAACGATCCTCACACTACTACCACTAGCATGCACAAAAGTGGCGGATGATAGCACCACGAGCAATCGTATCATTCTCATCCATACGCCTGTCATCCGTAAACAGCATACCAGCACCATTAATTGTACTACTAAGAATAGCAACATAGTATGAACATTAATCCCAACATGCAGCTAGTGATACTGGCACGACGAATGAAACTAAGATTCATACTGGCAAATATAAGGCGTTTGCACATTTTATTTGAATCATATTATTACGAATCTAGCAGGGCGAATCTAATTAGGGCGACCTCCACCGACTAGGCATATTAGCTATACTACTAATAGCAAGTGAGGAGGAGGAGGCGAATGAGGAGGAGCAGAAGGCGCAGGACGAGGAGGATGTGGAGCATGATGACCATGCTGATGAAGAGGAGGAGGAGGCGGAGGATGAGAATGAGCAGGAGCAGGAGCAGGAGCAGGAACAGGAGGAGGAGGAGCAGGAGGAGGAGCAGGAGGTGGCTGAGGACAAGGTGATGATGATGATGATGATGATGCTGATGATGATGACAGTGATGTTGCTGATGCTGATGATTGTGACGATGATGATGCTCATTGTTCGTGGTGATAGTCATGGTGATGGTGATGATGATGATGCTGATGGTTGTGATGATAATGCTCGTTGATGATGGTGATGGTCCTGGGGATGGCGGTGATGATGATGATGCTGCTGATGCTGATGATGGTCATGATGATGCTGATGCTGATGATGATGATGATGCTGATGATGACGATGATAATGATGCTGATGCTGATGATGCTGCTGATGGTGATAGCAATGCTGCTGATGATTATGCTGATACTGCTGATGATGGTGCTGATGTTGATGTTGATGATGCTGATGATGATGATGATGATGATGGTGATGTTGATGATGATGATGATGATGCTGGTGTTGATGATGATGCTGATGATGCCGCTGCCGTTGCCGATAATGATGATGATGCTGGTAATGCTGATGATGTGGATGATGATGCTGATGATGCTGCTGCTGATGATGATTATTATGCTGCTGATGGTGATGCTGATGCTGATGTTGTTGATGCTGATGATACTGATGATGATACCGCTGCTGCTGCTGATACTAATGATGCTGCTGCTGCTGATGATGATGCTGGTGCTTATGCTGATGTTGCTGCTGCTGATGATGCTGATGATGATAGATGATGCTAGTGATGGTGATGATGGTGGTGATGATGCTGCTGATGATAATGCTGCTGCTGATGATGCTGATGATGATGATGCTGGTGCTTATGCTGATGCTGCCGCTGCTAATGATGATGATGATGATGATGATGATGATGATGATGATGATGATGATGATGATGATCATGATGGTGCTAGTGATGGTGATGGTGGTGGTGGTGATGATGCTGCTGATGATGTTGCTGCTGATGATGCTGATGATGATGATGATGCTGCTGCTGCTGATGATGATGATGATGATGATGATAATGATGATGATGATGATGATGATGATACTGCTGATGATGATGATGATGATGATGATGATGATGAGGAGGAGGAGGAGGAGGAGGAGAAAGAAGATGATGAGGAGGTGGAGGAGGAGGAGGAGGAGGAGGAAGTGGAGAGCGAGGGCGAGGAGTAAGAGGAGCAGGAGGAGGACGGCGTCGGGGATGACCAGGCGAGATGGCCGGCCGCCCGTCTCGCAGAGGTGGTCTACGTGCTTGAGTGGCTGAAGAGCCACCGTGGGGAGGCTCCTCCGTCGTCATCGTGGCGGCGTCGACGTCGGCGTCGGCGGCAGAGTCGACATCGGCGTCGGCGTCGTCGTCGGCGTCGGCGTCGGTGTCGTCGTCGCCATCGTCGCCGTCGTCGCCGCCGTCGCCGTCACTAGCATCGTTTGCGTCGTCTGCTCCCTCGCCTCTCCTGCCATTTCGTCTCGCGAAGAAGCCACGGGGGGCTTTCTTCGTAAGCTTGGGGTGCCACTGGATGCGCGCGCGCTTCAGGGCCCTGGGGCCACCGAGACAACGACCCGCCGCGAAAGAACAGCTCCGGGGATGGGGTCGGGAGATTTTGGGTCCGCGTCGTGAGCTCGGAGCTCTGGTCCGCGATTCCTTCGGTAGCCAAGACGCTGAAAGAACGACCGCTTTTGGGTTCGGAAGGGGCTCGCTGTTTCTTAGGTCGTACCGTGGTTGTTCCTCTAGCCCTCCTCGTGTACCCAGGCTCTTGTGGTGCAGAGAAGGGGCTTCGTTCTTTATTTGGCATTATTTATTTAATCGCTTCGCTCATGCCGCCGGCCCTGGAGCCCTCTTTAGGGCCTCTTGGGGGCCTCTTGGGGACCTTTTGGGAGTCTCTTGGGGCTCCTTGGCGGCGTTTTGGAGGCCCCCAGGGCCTCTTGGGGGGCTCTTGGGGGTAGTCGATTGCGGCTCCCCCCTCGGAGGCCACGATCCTCGTGAGGGGTGTCGAAAAATACCCTCCCCTGGAGTGGTCTGGTGGCTTCTCCCGGGCTTCTCTCGGGACCTTGCCGGGGTACTTTTCGTCCGGGGGCCCCCAGGGGCCGCTCCGCGCGCGCGAACTAGAAATATTGTTAACAAGTTACCGGAGATCTTAGCACGCCTTTGGCCCGTTGGGCCGGCGAATTGAAGCAGCTTGATTGTAGCCAGGGCCCCAGGTAAGTGACAGGGCCCCGGAAACATTAGACCAGGTCTGCCGTAGCTTTTGTTCTTCGGGTGACGGCAGTTCCAGTCAGTGGAACGCGGTGTGGAAGGCGTCCCCAAGCACACATCACTAGACCAGGTTGCACAAGATCCAGTCCTGCCAATGCCCTCCTCTCCGCACCTGCAGCGCCCCAGCCTCCGCCCTTCCTCTTTTTTCCCCTCCCTCCAGAGCGGATCTCTTCACCCAAACCCGCGCTCCTCCTCGCCCCCCTCCTCCCGCCATGCCCTCCTCGCCCAGCGGACGGGGGGACAGGAAGGAAAGCACCAGGCGGGTTGCTGGTGGTGGGGTGGGGGGAATATCATCATCATGTCGCTGCATTGGTGTTGTTGCTGCCGGGCCTCGTCGTCCACCATCACATTTCCTTTTCCGACCTACTCAGCACTCATCGTCGCCGCGGCAGAGGAGGTACCGTTCTTGCTTCCTGCACGCGGCCGCGTGCAAGCTTCCTGACGCTACGGGCGTGCGTCGCCCAAACAGCCTGCCCGAGAGAAAGGAGAGCACTGGTTCCCCCACGACAGCTCAGAGGGCGCCAGCTGTGCACCTGTTGTACAGGTCCCGGCCCTGGGCACAGGATCGGTGCATGCTTCCTCCTGTCTTGGCGAAGCGAGGGCTGCGCGGTCGGCACCGCTTCAGAGCTGGAGCCCAGTTGGCCGCAGGCTCTCGGGGAAGGGGGGCCGCATCTGCGATTCGAGCCCTACCCCCGCAGGCCCGAATAGGGCTGCCTGCTCAGGCGAAGGACAGGAGGGCGGATGCGCCGACCCCGGGCACAGGATGTGCCTGGCCAGGAGCGGTGCAATGACACTGCTAGCGTCGGACGGGCCTAGGACGAGGATGAATCCGTTCCAGAGTTCCAGAGTTCCAGAACGCTCTCAGAGCTCTCCAGAGCGCTCTGAAAAGACCGCGGCGCCCGAGACATCCTCCAGAGCCGCCGGATCTCATAGGTTCCCGATCTTAGGGGAACGAACAATGACATAAACATAAGAAACTCAGAGGTCCGCGCGGATTCGTCGGGTCGGCGCTGGACCCCCCCTCTGGCGGTGCCTCTGGCGCCGCCCTTGGCGCGCTCCGCGCGCCAGGGAGGGGGGTCCAGCGCGGATCCAAGAGATCCGCGCGGTCCTCCGAGTTTTTTATGTTTACGCCATTTTTCGTTCCCCTTCTGATCTATCCCCATCCCATTTGATTCTCGTCCTGTCTTCGTCTCGCAGCGTCCTCCCAGCAGCGGCGCCCCCTGGAAGAAGAAACGACCCTGCGGCGGCCAGGCGGGCGCGAAGGCGCACGGAGCTGGGTGCGGGCGGGCGGACCCGTCGGACCGTCGGGCCCCCCAAGGCCCGCGAGGGCCTCCGCGGGCGTCCGAGGGCCTCCGGAGGGCCTCGAGGGGGCCTCCTGGAGCTCAGGAGCGGACGCAGGGTGGCGTGCGCGCGCATGGCTTGTGCGTGGCCTTCGAGGGCGTGCGCTGCGCGAGCGTCCGCAGCCCGGCCTCGCGGACTCGAGGGGGGGGGGGGGGGGCGCAGCCATGCGCGTGGTCGGGCACGAGCGTCTTCGGTCCGCCGGTGGGCTCCCCCGAGGGCCTCGGGAGGGCCTCCCGCGTGCGTGCGCGCGCGAGGGCTCGGAGCGCCCCGCGGGTGCAGGCGCCGCTGCCCCCGCGCGGAACGCTGCTGACGAAGTTCCTCTTCCAGCCCTTCGACATGCTGAGCAGGTTGCCCAGGGGGCACCGGCCAAGCTCGCCCCTCGAGCTCCGGCGTCGTGTCGGAGAGAATCGTCAGGCTCGGGTTCGCTGGAACCCGGGCTTGCCAGCGCTTCTTGGCGGGCCCGTCCGGGATCTTGACGGTCCAGGTTTCGTGGGATGTTTATCGCAGGTCTCCAAGTTTACAGCGGGAGCTCGCGTTACATCTCAGTTTGGGCCTCGTCATTGTCCTGACGGGCCCCGTCAGGCCGTCCCGAGTCCCCCGAATCCGAGTCTCACGTCTCCCCGATCGTGGGCCAGGGGCAACGTCAGGGGGGACAGGCTCAGGAGGGGATGCATCGAGTCCCAGTCGCCCTTTCATCCGATGCCCCCACCAGCCCAGAAAGGTGTGGATTCGCTATCGGGGGCCTAGTCGCAGATCCGTCGGAGACGTATCGCCGATTCCAGATCGATGTTTCCCCAGCTGAGCCAGCCCTCCCCCTGCTCGGGCGGCTGAAGAAGGAGCCCTTTTCGTTGGGGAGGGGCTCAGTGTTCCTTCATCGTTTTGCAGGTGTTCTTAGGGGTCCCTCAGATTTTTTACGGGAAGTCGTTCTGTATTTCGGGTTCCTGATGACAGCATTTCGACTGTATCGTTGGCCCTCAGTCGTGGACAAGGATCATGGCTGGCGCTCTCCTCCGCAGTCTCGGGCCTCGGGGGTGGTTCCGGGCCGATCCAGCCCGAGAGCGTGGCGCAGAGCAGCCGATTCGAGGGCTCGCGCTGTGATCTTCGCTCCGCGACGCTGCGCGTCGTTTTCACGACGTCGGATCTCAGGGAACGTGCCGACACCGAGCTGGTCCACGGCCATGCAGCAGCCACGCGCAGAGGGGGGTTGGGGGAGGGGGGAAGGCTCCTTGGAAGGAGGCTGCTTCTGAGAAGGCGCGGGCCTTGTCTATAGATAAAAGGGCTGGCGCCTTCTAAGAAGCAGCCTCCTTCTAAGAAGCCTTCCCCCCTCCCCCAGCCCCCTTGTGCGCGCCGACAGGCGGACCGGCCTGGCCAGGATCGGTGTCGGTGTATTGGTCGGCGTCCTCCCAGGTTGGGGTTCACGGAGGAGCCCCCGCTGGTGCTCCCGGGGCAGGGCGGGCCGGGGCTTGCCGACCACGACAGGTTCGCGCCACGTCGACGCGGGCGCGAGCGCGTGCGCTCAAGGTTGAAGCCAGCTCGCGGCCTGAAACGGGAAGACCTTGAACGATCTCCGCTGTCGTGTGTCGGATGTCTCTCAACATCTAACGGCCCAGGCGGTTGTCAGAGGGCAGTGTCTACGTCGATACGACAGGAGCCAGGCCGTGACCGTCCTGGTCAGCCCCGTCTTGGGCTCAGGGTCGATAAGTGCGCCCTCCTGGCCCTGACCAGGAGGGCGCAAGCACATATCCTGGGCCCAGGAGAGGGCCTGCCTTGGAGCGGTGCGGGCATCCTGGAGAGTTGGGGACCTTCCAGAAACAAGGGGGGCAGAACGGAGTACGTGTGTGTGTGTGTGTGTGTGTGTGTGTGTGTGTGTGTGTTTGTGTGTTTGTGTGTTTGTGTGTTTGTGTGTGTGTGCGTTTGTGTGAGGTGTCGAGCTGTGATGGTGCTGACGACCTCGGTCAAAAAGGGTCCTTGCCTTAACCACTGCATCAACGCAGACGCCGACATGCGCTTCGGTGGGTGATGCGGTAATTCATGAGGATCTTTCTCATAGTTACACACAAGGCAAAGGGGAATCTGATCCTTGGGAGGGATTTCCTTGATGGCTTCGAGGCGTGCTCCCAGGTCTCGTAACACTGAGCAATGTCGAGTTCTATCATGAGAGCCAGCAGCAGTGAGCATAAGACCAATACGGGAGGAAGTCTGCGGCGTAGTCGCCGAAAAGCAAAGTATCTTGGTGTGGACGAAAAGTAACAGGTGCAAACAATGTTGTTCATCCAGTAGTTTGCGAACCTCTTTGCCTGCCCCACGTCTACGAGCTTCTCGGTTACGATAGCTGCCTGATGCCGTAGATGGAGGCCCCTCCCAAGAGCCTGACATTTTGGACGAGCCAAGGCCGTCGTTCAGGTATGCGTAAAAGGTCGGTATCGTCTTAGCGGGTAGTTCCCGAAGAAGTGTACGCCACCAGCACGTCAGCGCTTGGACAGGCCCTTCATATGCACTGGCTTGACCCTTTTTGGAAGGCTGAGGTGGGAAGTACAGAACCCCCACCAGAACATCTAACGCACCTCTATTTCTTCCAGCCGCCACAGTTCTCCCCCGAGCATGCCCTGGTGAACCCCAAACCCATCGGACGTCCTGATCGCGATATTGGGGCCCGAGACAGCTGGCGCAGCCCGTCGATGCGTTTGTGAACTCCCCAGGCTGATATACTGCTTTGACGAGTAGTCGACCATCAACCCTCCTTTTTAGGGCTCCTCCTCCACGACGACATTTTTCTTTGGTCCCTGGAAGCAAGAGAAATTCGGCGGAGCGAGTAGCGAGGAGGATCTCGGAGAGGCGTGTGTGTGTGTGTGTGTGTGTGTGTGTGTGTGTGTGTGTGTGTGGCGCTGAGCGTGTTAAAGGCCAGCACTCGCAGCGCCGACCCGGCGACGCCCGCTGGCACCATAACCGCGCTCCAGAGAGGCTCTCTCGACCCCTCGGCACCCTCAAGTCGGTGCTAGGACCCCTGGGTGTGAAGGCGCCTGAGCCTACAGGGGCTGGAGGAGAGGAGGGAAGGATGATGAGGAGGAGGAGGAGGAGGAAAAGGAGGAGGAGGAGGAGGAGGAGGAGGAGGAGGAGGAGGAGGAGGAGGAGGAGCCCTCCACCCCCCCCACGGGGCACCCGAAAAGACGGGCGGAGACGCCTGGGGGGCCACCCCTCGCGCCAGCGACGGGGCCTCGGCCCTGCTCGGCCCCGCGGCCCCGGGCCCCTTCCAGACTTTTCACGTCGCGGCGCGGCAGAGGCAATCCGTTCGCGCGTCGTAGCAACACAGGGGCACGGAGTCGCGAGTTGGCCCGCATGCAAGAGGAGCGGAAGGACGAGAGAGGGCGGCCGCGGAGAGGGGGCCAGAGCGCGGGGACATCTTTTCCTTCCCAGACGCGCGATGTCCCGAATTTTCCGGTGCGCGGTCCCTGGAGGTCCCGACCGTATCCCTGGGGCCAGTTTTTCGTCGTGGGCCGTGTTCGAACAGTCGCAGGTCCCAGGTGAACTGGGAGACAGATCCGTCTTGATTTTTCAGGACGTTGCATGACTGGGGAAGCCGGCCCCGCGGCAAACTCACGACCAGAGCCCTAGACCTTGTCTTTCTGCGGCGTCTCTCGAGCCCGATCGATCTGTGAGGGTCCTGGGCTCCGAAACTGGGTGAAAACGCCCAGCGGTGAAACTTTGCAACGGCCTGATCTCAGGCTTTGCGTCCGCCCCGAGAAGCTGGCCTGAACTCGGCACTATCCAAGCGTGCGTATACTGAGTGTGCGTCGATCCCACAGTGACGACGCGCGCGCGTGCTCAGAAACCTTATGGTATACGCTCCGCGTCGGGCGCTTTCTGGCCATACTGCTCGGGAAACGATCTACTGTAAGACGTGTGTAATCACTGCATGTTCGGGTCGGCCGTGCTCCTCCAAGGCAAACGCACGGCACGAGTATGTTTCTCTGCGCCCCTCGAGCTATCCGGGCGAAGCGTGCAACGCCCAGACCTCCGGCTGTGCGTCCGCCCCGCGAAACCGAGGCTCGAACGCTCCGCCCAGCGCGCCTGCGGCCGAGCGCCCGCTCCCCCCAGGAGCAGGAGCAGCGCGTGCTGTCGATGGCCGCCGCGCGGGCGGCCAGGCCGCCCTCGGCCGAGGCCTTCGCCGGCGGCGAGGCTCGCGGAGCCGCCGCCCCCGCCCCTCCCTCTCTAGGCCTCCTGGATTGGATCGGAGTAGATCAGGTCGGAGGATCGCGCCGCATCGCCGATGCACTGGCGATGCATCGGTAATGCGGCTCGATGTGGGGCCCAACTTTCTCCACGCCGACGTCGCGGATGTACCGCCGACGTCGCCAGTGCATGGCCGATGCATCGGCGATGCATCGGCGATGCATCGGCGATGCGGCGAGATCCTTCGACCCCATCTGCTCCGGTCCCCGTCTAGGAGGCCTCCCTCCTCCGAGCTCCTGGCGTGGCAGTCTCGGGTCCCAGGGCCCTCACAGGTTGCCTCGGGCTCGAACAGTGACGCCACACGAGGCGGCCCACAGCTCCAGCTGTGATTCTTCGCAGTGTTGCGTTTTTTCGCAATGTCAGATCCCAGGGGCGCACTCGATTCTGTGAAGAGGGCACTCCCCTGCCCCTCTGCCGCCCGTGCCGCCTTGTGAGCATGATGCACATACTTTTCATGTTTGTGGCGTGCACGCTGCCCGCCGCCGTTTTGGCCCTAGTCCTAGGGCCCTGGGACTGCACCCGCAGTTTGACCGCCGCGCGGTCCGAGCAAAAAGAACTGCACTGACATTGGTAGCGGAGCTTGCAAACTCCAGCGGACGCACTGCGTGCTCTGCTCGGGTGGCTGTGACCACCCGCGCGCGCCGCCATGGCCGGCAGCCAGGACGGCTCGGACGCGGAGGCGGTGTCCTCCGCCGGCGCAGGTTCTCCGGACCTGCACGCGGTCCTGCGCGTGATGGCCGAGACCCAGAGGGAGATCCTGGCCCTGCAGCGGGATCGTGGTGGCGACAGCGGTCCCAGGCGTGCACGCCTACTGCTGTCACAAGTGAAGCTCCCGGACTTCGACGGTGCCGTCGGCACTAGCACCAAGAAGTACCGAGAGTGGCGCAAGGCTGTGGAGGTCATCCGCAATCTCAACCAGCTCTCCGACGTGGAGCTGGGCCTGATCATCTACAGTCAGGTGACAGGTCGGGCCAAGGAGCTCATCGAGGTACTTGACGCGTCGGACATCCGACGCGAGGACACGCTCGAAACCATCTTTGCTCTCTACGATGACGCTTTCGAGAAGATGGATCACGAGCGCCTGGATCAGGTGCATCAGGAGTGGGAGCGTGCTCACCGTCGGGCAGGGCAGCCCATCATGGACTGGACGACGTACTTGCGGAAGAAGCGCATGGAGTTGCAGCTCGAGGATCCCACTTCAGCGATCAGCGATCGCGCGCTGGCGAGCAAGATGCTCCGTGGTGCTGGGCTGTCGCAGAGAGAGCGAGCGCAGGTGCTCTTCAACTGCGGCGGCGTCCACGATTCGAAGCGCATGGAGGTCGTGCTGAAGGCAGCCTACCCGAAGGTGCACGACACCGAGAAGCGCTCGGTGCTTCCTCGCCGCTCGCCGTTTGTGGCGGCGAAGCGTGAGCACGGGCGCTCCTCCGGGAGCTCGGGCGGTCGCTTCCCGCACCCTCCCTTGGCTCGCAGGCCATTCGTACCTCGAGGCCGCCCTGGCCAGCACGTGCACGAGGTGGAGAACGGTGACGACTACGATGAACACGACGGCGACCTGGAGGAGGCGCAGCACGACGAGGAGGAAGCAGACGACCAGGACGACGGGGACCCCGGAGGGGGCGAGGGCATCCTCTTCGAGGACGGCGCCGAGGTCGACGAGGAGCTGGCGTCGGACAACGACGGGCCTGACGACGAGGAGTACGAGGCACCGGAGGATCTTCAGGAGGCGTTCTTGGCCGGTTGGAGGGCCAATCAGAAGACGGCAGTGCAGCGTCAGAAGCGCGGATTCGTTGCCCCTCGGCAGCGGGACCCCAAGAAGATCAACGCCAGTGGCTCCTTCCAGGCGGGTCGCAGGACGACTGACCAGCGCAAAGCCAACAGCCGGTGTGCTGACTGCGATCAGTCCGGCCACTGGCGTGGCGACCCGGAGTGCCCCGTGGTAAAGAGTGGCGAGCGCGAGCCGCACAGCAAGACCGGGCCTAAGAGTGGCCAGCCAGCGTCGCCCAACCAGCGGAGCTCTGCGAAGCCGCCGGTGCCAAGGCAGGTGCATGGGCCGGTCATCCACTGGGTTGGCATGGCTGGCAGTGCCGAAGAGCGTCGTGGCCGCGTGCCGTGGCGCCGCGCTCCCCTGTCGGTGCCTGCCCGGAGGCATTCGGGAGAGGTTCGAGCCGATGCTCCGGGGAGTTCTGCCGGGAACCCTCGACCCACGAGTATGCCTGCACCACGTTTATACCAGAAGACCGACGATGGCCCAGAACAGGGCAGCGATGAACGCGCGCGCGCCCTTGCAAGGCGCGGTGGGGGTCAGGGGGGCGAGGGTGCATGCGTGCGTTGCCATTGCATCCTGGCCAACACGCACGCAAAGGGGCACAGCGTGGAGTTGGAGTTTCCTGACCTTGCGACGGTCCATCACATCGTGGAGCGTGTAACGAACAAGAAGCCCATCTTCTTCAAGCAAGGCCGCTTCGAGGCCATCGACTTCGTCCAGGGTCGGCTTATGCGGCTGCAGCCGACCACGTCGAAGCCTTGCACGGCGGCTGAGGTGGATCTCGATGAGATCACGGCGACTATGTTTAAGATCGTGATGGGCGGAAACCGTGACACCAAGCACCGCGACGATCGGCGCGGTGAAGGCGGAGGTCGCGACACCAAGCATCGCGACGATCATCATCGAGATCGCCGTGACGACCGCCGCCGCGATCGGGGAGCTGTTCTCCGTGAGCATCGCGCCCCTCTCCCGCCCGAGGTGGGGGCCCCATCGCGTTCGAGGTCGCGGAGTGCGCCGGAAGGCCGCGGTGAGAAGGAAGAGAGGAAAGAGAAGAAGAAGGCGAGGAGCAGCAAGGAAGAGAAGAATGAGAGGAAGAAGGCGAGAAGCAGCAGGGAAGTGAAGAAGGAGGCCGAGGTGAAGAAAGGAGATGAGGCCAGCGAGGAGGATGAGGTCAGCGAG